GATACTGCTGGCTTAAAAACATTAAAATCCTAAGCGGTCTAGCATGTCCAGCATATCATGAAAATTCATAACAACATTTCCATCTTTCCAATAGTACAAATAATGTAAACAACTGTATTTCACATATTGCAGCTGCTCCTTGCCTTCAAAACACCGATTATTTCTTTCTTTCCATATTGTCCAAGCTATGCTAAGAGGAATATCTCTCCAAAACTTCTTTAAGGATGCTTCTGGACATGCAGGTTCCCAACACTCTAATATATTCCTGAATTTCTTAGGACTTGCCCAAAGGATGCCAAAGTTAGCCGTGAACATGGACCACACCTGCCAAGTAAATTCACAATGCAAAAAAAGATGGTCCACGGATTCACAAGCTTTCTCACACAAGCAACACCTGTTGCACATTATCCAACCCCTTCTCATCAAATTTTCTTGAGTCAGACATGCTTCATGTGCTACTAGCCAACCAAAACATGAAGAGGATCTTCCTTATCTCAATAGATCTCTTTGTGATGAAATTAAATATACATGATAAAGGGATCCATATGCAACTGTAAAATTCTTGATATCTTTTAGGATGAATCAATCTCTTAGATTGTCCAACTACTTATCTTTTAGGATGAATCAATCTCTTAGATTGTCCAATTACTGATCTGTCAATCTTTATTATCTGTTGCCTCCTCTTCCATTCCATCTGTTGTGAACTTAAGCTTTTCTTCTCTGTTGTTTTTTGCAGATGTTTCTTCAAGAATTGTGGAAGTTCCATCAGCGATAAATTCATGTCCCAAAGCAGTTATACTTGTTTGTACATTCCTCAACTCTTCTGCCTAAGATCTTATTTTATTACCAGTGACCATTGAGTAAAGATACTACCTCATGTTAATCTTGTGGAGAACATTGACTTGTATGGGTAACAGAGGGATGTATTCCCTTGCTTTTTCGCTAAGGCAGTCATGAATATAGGACAAGAGTCAGGGAATGCTGAGACAATCATGAATTAGATTGCAGACCAAAACTTTTACCTTATCAAAAAAAGAATAAGACTGCAGACCAAGGATAGCTCAGTCCTTAAATAATTTATGTGTATATATCTGCAGTTTAATATCTAGCACTTTTCCTGCTTCTTGCGAAGTAACTTGAACATCCTTACAGAGGGCTAAAGTATTGTGGTAATAGAATGGCCCTAGAGCAAAAAAACTATGATATGTGTTTGCCGAAAAGATTTTCTAGTTTAGAGTAGACCGCTTAGGCGTCAACATAAGGTTTCTTCATATGAATGAATTTCTAAGAAATCATATCTGGAAATTTGTTCAAACTTGAAGCAAATTGGAAACGTAAGAGGTGAAAGAGAGAAGAGGTTGGAGAACAATATTAGGAATCCTCCCGAGTTCTTCCTCAACGTAAATTTTTTCCAGCAGCTGCAACACAAGAAACAGATGTTATCAAATCTTAGAACATGTTAAGCAGTGCCTTTTTAAACCTATCTCCATAAGCAGAAACTGATCTTATATGCTTCACTGCACTTCCTCCTATCTCCATAAGTTAACAAGTGCCTTTCTAAACCTGCATGAATGTTGGTATAATTTATAACTGGTGTATCCAGCCTGGTCAACCCTTCAATTTGAGTTGCTGACAAGCACTTGGATAAACCACTACTCCAAGTAGCTGCCTACCTGTCACAAGCTACACAACGCTATTTTTTTTTTTTGATGAAGTAAGGTGTTGTATTGATGGCATCAAGAAGATGCAATTAGTACAAAAGAAGAGATGTTAGCTCCAGTACATCATGTGCTATTCTAATCATAGGGAGCTAACCAAAAAAAGGGCCATCAGGCTAGGCTCATTGAGCCAATAAAGTCTAGAAAGGGGATAACATTATTTACAGGGGAGATATTACTCCAACTAAAAAGATACACCAGACATCTAGCTTTCAAAAAGTGAATAGGAGTTGAAATGCCATCAAAACATCTTCGATTCCTTTCTGTCCGAAGACACCAAAATATGCAATCTGGGACCATTTTCCAGATACTTTTGATGGCCTTGCTGACTTTCCAAAAGCTCCAGCTTTCAACTGTTTCCTTAATGTTCCGAGGTAGTGTCCAGCTGATACCAAAAATTGAGAAGAACATGTGCCAGAGATCAATAGCCACTGTGCAATGCAGAAATAGATGATTGATTGATTCTGAGTTTAGCTTACACATGTGGCATCTATTAACAATCTGGAAGCTCCTCCTACAAAGATTGTCTTGTTTCAAAATAGCACCTTTAAGAGTCGTCCATGCAAAACAGCTGACCGTTGTAGGCATTTTGGTTTTCCAGATTAGCTTCCAAGGCCACATGTCAATAACTTCATTCAAAGCACAAAGTTTATTGTAGCCTGCCTTCACTGTATATGCCCCTTCCTTAGAAGTGCCCCATCGTAGATTATCCGCGTGCTGGATACTCATTGTACAATTTGCTAACCTTCCAAGTAGGTCAAGCACTTCTTCAATCTCCCAGTCTTGTATGTTTCTCCTGAAAAGGACCTCCCAAGTGTTGTTGGATCTATTCTGTGCGACTGTTGAGTTAGGATCAGTAGCTAGGTGGAATAGAGTGGGGAAAGTTTCTTGAAGTGTGAAGTTCCCTAGCCACTTATCCTTCCAAAATTTCACATGTGCTCCATTACCAACTTTGAAGGACACTTCTTGTTGGAAAACTTCCTTTAGGCTGTTGATGTGCTTCCAGGGCCCAACCCCATGAGGAGCTCTTGTGGTTCTGGTACTCCAATTATCCAGGTGACCATATTTGGCTTTTACTATTTCCTTCCATAAGCTTGTGCCTTCTTGCCCATATCTCCAATGCCACTTCATTAGCAAACTCTTGTTGTGTTTTGAAAGATCTCTAATGCCCAGACCACCTAGTGACTTTGGTTGAGTTACAGTTGCCCACTTCACCAAATGGAATTTGTGACCTTCACTGTTACCTTCCCATAAAAAGGATCTTCTCAATTTGTCCAGCTGCTTTTGAACTTTACTTAGCATAGGGAATAGGGACATGATGTAGGTTGGTATGCTATCCAAAACACTGTTGATCAGAGTCACCCTTCCACCCATTGAGAGATACTGCATCTGCCAAGTTGCTAACCTTTTCTCCACTTTCTCAATCACACCATTCCACACCTCCACTGACTTATGTTTTGCTCCCAAGGGTAGTCCGAGGTAGGTAGTAGGAAATGAGCCAATGTCACAACTCATTATACCAGCCAGCTCGTCTAAGTTAGGCACCACATTGACAGGATATATCATGCTTTTCAGCATGTTTATGTGTAGACCTGAAATAGATTCAAAAATAAGGAGGGTTAGACTGAGGTACTGCAGCTGCAGTTTTTCAGCCCCACAGAAGATTAGTGTGTCATCTGTGTATAACAGATGGGAGATTGAGATTGAATTCCTTGAGTTGCTGCTTATCTTGAACCCTTGAATCCATTCTAATTGCCTTGCTTTATCAAGCATTTTGCTCAAACCTTCCATTGCTATGATGAAGAGAAAAGGCGAGACAGGGTCTCCCTGCCTAATCCCTTTATGAGGGGAGAAAAAGCCAACTGGAGATCTGTTGATGAGGATTGAGTATTTGACAGTGGTTAGACTGAACTTGATCCACCTTATCCATCTTTCACCAAATCCCATTCCCCTTAGTGTTGACAGAAGATAGGACCAGTTGACTTGATCAAATGCCTTCTCTATGTCTAGTTTACATAGGATTCCAGGGACTCCACTTTTAAGTCTCTCATCCAGCAGCTCATTTGCAATAAGAGCTGCATCAGTTATCTGTCTATCTTTTAGGAATGCATTCTGTTCCCCTGAGATTAGCTTCCCCATCACTGCCTTCATTCTTTCTGCCAGAAGTTTAGCTACTATCTTATACACACTTCCAATAAGGCTTATTGGTCTAATGTCCTTGAGCTCTACTGCACCTTTTTTCTTCGGGACAAGTGCAATGAAGGAGGCATTGCTGGACTTTACCATATGACAGTTATGGTGGAAATGGTTGATTGCTGCCATAATGTCCGGCTTGATAAAGTTCCAAGGTTTTTGGTAAAAAGCCATTGTGTAGCCATCATGTCCTGGGGCTTTATCTGGTGCACAAGAATTGATGGCTGTCATCACTTCTTCTTCTTCAAAGGCTCTTTCCAGCCACACTTCTTCCTCCATCGAGATCCTAGCTAAGTTGTCAAAGTTGACACTAGGCCTCCATTGCTGACTTTCTGAATAGAGCCCCTGATAAAAGCTTAGGATTTCAGCTTTGATGGATTCTTGGTCCTCAATGATTTCCTCCCCTATCTTCAGTCTGTCAATGTAATTGTTCCTTCTGTGGGAGTTAGCCATTTTCTGAAAGAATTTAGTGTTCCTGTCACCTTCTTTAAGCCATAAACATTTTGATTTTTGTCTCCATGAGATGTCCTCAACCCTTGCTATTTGCTGTAATTCCACTCTTATCTGCATTAGTTTCTCCTTTTCAACTTGTGCTTGGGTCCTGCTCTCTGTTGTTTGCTC